TTGTAGAAAAGAGTATGGAGCTTCCTCAAAAAACTAAAAATGGGACTGCCTTTTGACTAAACAATCCCACTTCTGGGAATATATTTTAAGAAACCCGAAACATTAATCCAAAAGAATACATGCTCCCCGTGTTCATTGCAGTGTTATTTACAACAGCCGAGATCTGGAAACAGCCCAAGTGCCATCAGTGGATGAGTGAATAAAAAAGCAGCAGCACGTTTACACGACGTAATACTACTGGGCCCTGAAACAGAAGGAAATGTTACCTTTTGCAACAGCATGGATGGACCTGGAGATTATTATGCTAAGTGAGATGAACCAGTCAGAAAAAGACAAATACCATATAATTTCACTTATAGGTGGAATCTAATGAACAAAGGAAACTGACAAAACAGAAACAGAGGCCTAGATGCATGGAACCGATGGACAGCTGTCAGAGGGGACGGAGTTTAGGGGGCTGGATGAAAGAAGGGCAAAGGTGGATAAATGCAGGTGGAAGGAGACTTTGCTTTGGCTGACGGGTGCGTGATGCAGTGTGCAGATGATGTTTTGTTGAGTCGTACACTTGAAACCTGTATGGTTTTGCGAACCACTGTCACCCCAATAAATTCAATTAAAAAAGTATAAATGAACAGAAAGCAAAAGTATCATTAAGCAGAAATCCAACATTGCTCTTTTGTGTTCCACTGTGCTTACCCAATGGTACCATTTCATGAACACAGATCATATAAGAATGCCCTTAAAATGCTTGTTAAATTAAATTAAATATATGTTTGTCCTAAGGTGGTGATAGCTATATCTCACTAAAGGGTCATTAAAGGGAAAGGAAAAGGAAATGAAGATCTAGTACAAAAGTTTTTTTCTGCAGGTATAATCTCACTAAGAGCCACATTGGACTAAGGTTATGTTTATTTAAACATCAGTTAAAATGGTCATTTTTACAAATTGACTGACAAAAAATGGATATTTCTTGGTGTTTCCATGGGTCATTCACCGAGCAGTAATACCACTAGGAGTTTCTGATCCCCTGAGGATAGTGGCTTAATTACATAGAAATTTAAAATTGAGAATAGTGGGGTAAGTGCATAGATAGAAATTGTCCTGTCTTTGAGTAGCTTATAATTAAATTTAATACCTCAGATGGTCCTTTTTGTTTGTGGAGATTTTAATTACTATGTAGATCTGGTAAATTATGAATTATTTGCTGCATGTATGTATCTGTGGAGTCATTTTTGAATTATTGTATTATCATAAATGATAAAATGTATATGTTAAGAAGCATTACAGTCTGCAGGTATAACATACATAAAGCAAGATTAATAGTATCAAGCAATTAAATGGAAGCAATCTTTATGGGGAAAAGAAAGGTTGAATTCTACCCTTAAGTGTAACTTAAACTCTCGCTAAATATTTTTAAGTGCAATAAAAGCATGTTAATTATAGGAGTGACTTCCTTATAAAGCCTCATTTCTTAAAGTAAGTTTTCCTTTCTAAGAATAGAAAAGCTTACTGAAATAATTTCTATTGATAACTCATTCTATAAAGAACTGAAGTTTTCCTTTTAAGCCCAATGAAGAAAGCCCAAAATAGCACAGGAAATTTTGTGTGTGGTAAATATATGTATGAGCTAAATCTGATTGGGATAAAAATGATTGAATTATTGATAGGGTCATTGTTGGTACCAAAGCATTTTGTTAGTTATATGACACTCCTTAAATATTTTGAGAATTTCTCTTTCATTTGCCTATAACTGAATATAAAATAGAGGAAACTGTATTTTGTTTTAATTTAATGTACTTGTATGTACATCTTACAAATAGTCTTATATAAAAAATGCTAAGCATCTAAAATAATTTTTTGCATATGTGTTTCTGTATTTTTTTTTCACTTGCCGAATTACTTTTATGCCTCCGCTAACAAGATCAATGCCTGTATTTCCAGTTTAGCTATACCTTTGCTTCTTGGTAGTGTGACAGCTGGCTTCACAGTGAATTTAACAAGACCTTGGTAAATACATAGAGCACTTAGCAAAATGTACAGAGCTCTTCACAAAGAACATTTTGGATCTTTCTCTCTCCCCCCCCCACTCACACACACACACACACACACACACACACACACACACACACACACACAGAATTTGGTCCTCGTCCTGGAATTATTTAGCAGTGGACTTGGCAAGGTGAAACTTCCCAAATAAAGCAATGTGAAACATTTATAAAAGCACACCATAGACTACACATTAAAGATACAAGTACTGAAGACTTACATTCTGTGTAGTTTTGAGGGTGTGTTTTATCCAATGTAGATTGTAGGTGTTTTCAGTCCCCCTCCTGACAGCGCTGTGGTAGAGATTGCTGTGTGCGTGTATCTATGGGGTCATTTCTGAAGCTAAGCTAACACAACCCGAAATCAACAGGCAGGTTGCTAGAGAAGAAATTGGAGCAATAACTGGGCATTTTGTTATAAAAATAATCGGAATGTAAATTCTTAAATAGGCTATTTTGGGGGGGTGTTGTTTTGCTTTGTTTTTGGTTTGTATTTCTGCTTGCTCTTGATGCACTGGGTGTGATGAAACCAAAGATGTGATTGTCCCTAAGAAACTGAGAGAAATTTGAGCTTTGAGGAACGGGGAAAAAGATAGTAATGTATTTTCATCTGTCTGTGGTAGGTTTAACTGCATCTCTTTTTTTTTGCTAAATGGTATCTATGACAGCACAATGTCAACTGGTTTCAATAGGAGATAGCAGGGGAAACACAGAAAAAATGTCCCCTACAAATAAGAGGGCTAAGCGAAAGCAAAGCCTTTCAAGAAACCAGAGTGGTAGTTACTGAATGGGTTTATTCAAACAAGGAAAGCATTAAAATAGTCTTGAAGAACAAAAGCACCAAGTTCAGGCCACCATACTGTTTTATAGGTGCAGTGCTGAAATTTTGTACTCACGTCTGTCTTTGAACCAGGAGGAATCAGTTAAGTGTCAGAGTTTTTAATTTTGAAACAGCCAAAATTTGCCTCTTCATTAACCAATGTAATTGTTTTACTGATTTACTTAAGGATACTTATTTAAGACATTTAAAGCATACATCGTAATGATTTGATGCATGTGCACCTTGAAAGAAAGGACTCCTCCCCATTAGGTTACGAAGACATCTGTCACCTCACACATTCATTTATATATTTTTGGTGAGAACATTTGAGTTTTACTCTCTTAGCAAATTTCAACTCTGCAGTACAGTGTTATTAACTATACATTAACTATACATGTTACACATTAGCTCCTCATCAGTTTATTAAATTGATGAATTTTTCTTCCAGTCATCTCAGTTGAATAACTGTGAATAATCACTTTCTAAACGTGTAGTCATTTAATACTGCAGATGTAGTTACCAGTTTCAAGATCCTTTAAACAGGTGCCCCGATGGTTTAACCAGCTACTTTTTGCTCTGTCCGTTCCTCTGGGTTCCCCGATACCTTTTGCAAGACCAGCCAATTCTTTATAAGTAAGAGGAGCACCTATTTAATTTAGAAATATTTTTATACTTCTTAAACAGTAAATATTAGCATTAAAACTTGGAAGAACTAGAAGTGTGTAGAGAATAATGTTTTCTTCATGAGCTGCATAAATACAGGCACGTTAGAGGAAAAAAGTGTATTTTATTTCTCATATTAGCTATGGAGTAAAAATTGAAAGGTAGATAAAAATTATGAACAGCCTGTAACATTTTTTAAAAGATAAATGTTAATTAGGCATTAAATTTTTTTCCTGAAAAACTGAGTAATGTATTTTAAGATATAGTTGAAAAAGTGATTTAATTTTCTGTTAATTTGATAATATGAATAAAAGAACTTATGGGATCATATGGTTCCTAATAATCCAATACATGTATGTGATTATACCCTATATTATCCCAGCTATGATTCTTCCTTCAATGTAATAATTCCTAAAGAAAGTATTTGAAATTTTTTGGCCTCACTTTAACCCCACAGATGGTTATATTTGGTTTCAAATTTTGCAAAATAGTAACATCTATTTATTGATTTTAAACAATTTCCTCTATTCTGTACTGTTCAGTGGTACTAGAAATTAGGAATTTTTCATTCTTTGCTATGCACCAGAATCACATAGAATTCTAGATGAAGTTTCTAGAGAAAGGCGGTATAAGGACATTACAACCATGTTATATAAAATGAGAAGTTAATGGATAAAAAATATGGAAGTGAATTATTTTCATTTTCTTATAAAAATTAGATATGAATAGCTTAGTTATCATTTATTGAAAGTCTGAAATGTTACTGTTTATGATATATAATTATATACAGACCTCGTTCAGTATTCTTACTAGCTGCTTATACATACTTATCCATTTTCCTGGCCATAGCAGTGACTATTTTGAAAAACATGCCTAGAAAGACAGCCTCACTGATAAGGTGTACCTATTCTAAAGTTCAGAATTAAGTATCACTTTATGCTTCATTTGAAATAACTGCTTGACCAAAAAAATTGATACCTACTTTTTTTTCTCCACATTTAATTTTAAAATGAATGTTTTTTAAATAGGATGAAATTTTTTGTGTGGCCATAGCGATTTGTCATATAACCATTTGCAAAAGTCTAGTTTAAATAAAAATCAGTAATCATGAAATTTTTGGAAATTATGATATTTAACTCAATCTTATGATACGATACATCTATTTTTTTCTTTGCCTTTTTGATGTGATTTATATTAAATATGAAAGATTTCTACCGTTTTCAAGTATTGTACTTTTGTTTTATTCGGTAAGAATAAAATCTAATGACTGTGGCCTACTTATACAATTACAAAATTCGTTTGAAAGCTTAAACCTTGGGCTTTACTTTATTGTATTCTTTATGTAAAATACTTGCTCAATGTGACCAGTTAAAAAATATAATTTTTTCACAGTTAGAGGAGAAAATGATTCCTCTTTATATTACTCTCAGATGTACTACTCCCTGAATTTTGGTTTGGTTTCCCTCCAGACGGTGGATACGGCTGCTGTTTGGGCGAGAGTTCCCCCTACAGGATCTGCTGGTGGTCTGGGACGCCTTGTTTGCAGACGGCCTCGGCCTGGGCTTAGTCGATTATATCTTCATAGCCATGTTGCTCTACATCCGAGATGCTTGTAAGTATTGATGACCTCACCTACGTTCAAGTAGGTGATCCTGATTTTTAAAAATATGTTTTGTTTTTTAAATATATTTTATCTTTTATTCTGAATTACCATACCTGCATTCTATAGTAGGCAGTATATTGAAGTTTCAACAGTACATACTAAATATTTTTTTGTTAGTTAACTATGCACATATTGGGAGATGTGAGTGATTTTATCCTGAGAGAATTGGAATATTCTTCAGAACCATTTTTCTGAAGACTTTACTCCTGCTTTAATCTCCTCATTACACACATTTGTGAAATGTACATATAAAAAGCTGGTCTTTCAGATATGTATAGAGCTCCACCTTCTGACAGGTAGGTAATATTCAAGGATATTTATCGAGAGATTAGAGCTGTTTTCTTACAGTAGCAACAACTTGCCGGTAAAAAATAAATATTACATTTAAAAATATTTTAACTCCATGGTTATATTTTAGCCAATTGTGTTTTTCAATAGAGGGCCAATTGGTAAGTGCACTGTCTGCTCCACTCTCCCGTCGTTGGGAAACCAGGGTCTGCGCCCTTTAAACAGTCAGAGTCCTCAGCCTGAAGAAGATTCCAGAGCATGGTTTAAATTTCAAAATATCTCAAATTGTTTTTCTTCTCAGAAAAATAATCACAGTTCACAAAACAAGATTTGTAAGCCATAATATAAATAGAAAATATTGCATAAGGAGATGATGAAATAGGAAATAAAAATCTATCGTAAGTGCAGGACTTCATAAGAAGAATATAAACTGTTCCAAGTCATTCATAATCTTGACTGTTAAACTGCTCTGTGGTTCTCTTTTATTTATTCATTGAACACCATTTGTACCAGATGCTCTCGTTATGCCTCTGGTAACACTAATAATTCTTTAAAATTTTACATTATACTTTTTTAATTTCCCCAGAATGACTTGAGTGAATAAATGACAGGAGTACCACATTTTATCCAAAAAAAAATTTTTTTCTGTGCCTTGAAGGTCAAATACTTTGGGTTTTGACAGACAAAGTGAAAATGTCCTTTTTTCTGAGTCAGAGCTAATCTATAAAGACATGGAAATCATAAGAGGAAACAGCTGGAAAGTAGAGAATGATGTTTGGAGAGATTTGATGAGTACTAGGTTTTAGGATATTCAGTACTAGTCTCTCATTTTAAAGTTGTCTGGCTTTTTTAATATAAGCAATAAAAAAACAAAGGAATGGGAAACTTCTTTGCCTTAGATAACACAGGATGGGAGAAAAGTAGGTTTACAGTGGTTCATAGGGAAAATAACACAATAATTAATAAATAGTGATACAAGAATAAACTGTGTTTCGTGTACTCACAGCTTAAACCTACTTTTGCCCCACCCTGTATTTGCACAAAAATTAAAAATTAATTTTATGAAACAGGTAAATTTTTGGCCGCTGAAACTCTTACACATTTTTAAAAATCTTTCTACTGGTAATGTTAAAAAACATATGGGCACATGTGGAAAAATGCTAGGATAATGAAGTTGTTTATTCATTTCAGTATTTAGTCCAACTTATTTTTATTTGCTTGGTTAAATCCATAGCAGTGCATAAAAGCTTCTAAAATAGTGACTACTTATTACATATTTAAGGGGCACTGCCCCTGTCCACAAGAACTTTATTAACTTGTAGGAAAGGCCAATATAATTAATTTCAAACTAATACATCCAGTGCTGGGGTGGAGGTGTGGACAGGCACCTAGAAAGTATCAAGGAGAGACGCTAAGCGCCACACTGGACCAGGTGTAAGAGATCAGAGAAAATGGCATAGCTCTACCAGCTAGTTGGCATTCAGTTTCTACAAGCAAAGGGAAAAAGAGACTAACAGGTTATGAGACTGAAGAAGTAAACAGGAATGGGATTGTGATATTGTGTAATATCACTGTTAAGTAGGTTTTCAGTGTTAACACCAGAGAAGGAAGAGTTTGTATTGTAACCTTATAAAACATTGTTGTCTGAGCCAAGGGAGGTGATGTGGGGGTCAGGAGTACGGAGAAACAGTAAGATAAGGCTCGAAAAGTTCGTTCAGTTTGGTCCTATGGAGAGACAGTTACCCGATACCTTTGCCTATAAGATTAGTCAATACCACTAAAGGTAGCATTTATTGAACTCCATCTTCCTCCTTATTGTGCATATCCATCCCATCTTCTCAACTAGATTACAAGAGCCTTAGGATCAGAACCACCTGTTACAATTTTCCCCTATCCCTCAAAGAAGTTTTTCATGTGCTCGGGTAGTATTCGGGGTGATCTCAGACAGAAGGGTACTCCAGACGCCTGGGGGCCGTGAATTCAGATGCAGTGATTGCTGAGAGAAGAGGTGCCCAAAAGCTCTGAGAATGCCAAGCAAATAATGATTTTTAATACACTTTTCAGCATGGCCTTTTAAAAGAAAGTATTGGCTGCTTTTTTAGTTAAATATCTAAAATTTTTCACATCTTTATTATCAATTTAAATTTTTATTTCATTTTTTACTAGTATCCAAGAAAATCATTTTGTCTGATTTACAGTGTGACATACCTTTTCTTTGTCTTGTAAAGTATATTAATGGGTAAGACACTATATTCAAATCCATTTCGTAGTAGATTTTTCTAACCAGAAAGTATCTCAAATGTGTATTGTTTCTTAATTTACCATCTCCCTGAACACTTCCAAAATGGGGAAGTTTCCTTCTTGGCACTGCAACCCACTTCCAGCCTTGTTGTAGTTCAGCCAAGTGTAAACATGTAACAGACCGGGACTTTCCCCCGTCTTCCGTAGGGGTCTGCTATGGCAGTTGTGTCCTCTTTGTGGTTTAAAACACTGTTCCTTCTTATTTCATTTCACATCTCCACGTACTCTTCAGCCACTGCCTGTCTGCCAGAGTTTCCATCTGTCCTACCCCAGAAGTTCTGTTTCTCTCTTTTCTCGTTAAGAGCATATTCAGCATCATACTGATGTCAAAATGCAGTTAATTTCACTACAGACTGAATTTGCTTGTCTTTTCTGGAAAAGCTTTACCCAAACCCAGGGACTGAAACAAAGACTTAAATCACATAATAGTGTGTCATGATATTCATCAAAGCACGAATCGGTGGTCTGATTTTGAAAGGAGTGTTTCAGCCCTTCCCAACAGCCAGCTCCTGTCCCTCACAGACCTTAGTACTGACAGTCATTTTTATGACCATCTCAGGTATGGATATTAATCTGCCCTTTGAGTTTCAAATAACATTTATAGTACTTTATACTTCAGTGCAAAAATCATTTAAAATTTTACTAACACAGGCTGATAAAGCACATTGTCTTTTTCTGATGCTTAGATTTTCCTAAATAGACTTTGTTTAGAGAATTTTTAGGTTCACAGCATAAAGCAGAGTTCCCTTACACCCCCAACCCCACACACACACAGCCAGCCCTTCAGCATGCCTCACCACGGCATTACATACATTACAGTCAGTGACCCTGACGTATCGTAATCACCTGAGGTCCCGAGTTTACATGATAGCTCACTCTTGGTGTTGGACGTTCTGTGGGTGTGGACAAACGTGTAATGACCTGCACCCGTCATTATAGTATCAAACAGAGCAGCTTCCCATCCCAGAAGTCCTCTGTGCTTTCTGTTCATCAGACACTCCCTCCCTCTAACCCATGGCAAGCATTGGTATTTTTATGGTCTCCATAGTTTTCCTTTTTCCAGAATTTCATGTAGTTGAAATCATATAGTTAAATTCTCTAATTCAGTAATATGCATTTAAGTTTTCTTCATGTCTTTCCATGGTTTCTTAGCTCATTTCTTTTTAGTGCTAAATAATATTCCACTGGATATTTCAGTTTCACAGTTTATCCAGTCACCTTCTAAAGGACATCTTGGTTGCTTCTAAGTTTTGGCAACTATGAATAAATCTGCTATAAATGTCAGTGTGTGGTTTTTTTTGTGTGGATATAAGTTTTCATTTCACTTGAGTAAATATCAAGGAGCACAATTGCTGGCATATATGGCAAATGTCAGGGGCTCAGCTCAGCTGGGTGGGAGAGAGAGACAGCTGAGCTGCTAGGTATCAGAGTAGCCAATCAAAGCAACAAGTCAAAAATGAAAGTGTTAAGCTTTTGTCACTCACTGAAGCGGTATAAACAAGAGTCTAAAAATGGAGAAAATGTCAACAACCTCTATTCCATTTCACCCGTGGAATATCACTCTGGTCGGGGGTCAAGTGGGTCAGCACAGACGTGAGGTCGTCCCACTGTTCAGGAGGCCTCGAATAGAAAACCGGCAGCTTTATGGACCCTGAGAGGGTGGGGGTGTCAGAGCAGGGTGCTAGGATTGGAAAGGTACTGGGTACTAAGTCAAGCGAGAAAAATGTCCTTCTCCTACCCCCATAAGGAGGTCTTGGCAGAGGTCATCCACCAAGTCCTCAGATAATGAGATCTAGGAATAAAAGCAGTAGGGCTAGGGAAACAGATGTGTGAAAGATAGTGACCAACTGAGTTGGCCTGAGGCCTTGATTGCAGCTTCTGACAGAGACCACAGTGCACTGACTGTGCACCAACCAGTACAGAGAGGACAACTGTCCTCTAAAGGCCTATCAAGTAAGACCTTCTGTATTAGTCAGGGTTCTCCAGAGAAATGAACCAGTAGAATATATACATGAAGAGATTTATTATAGGAGTTGGCTACATGTCTGTGGAGACCTAAAAGCCCTATAATAGGCCATCTGCAAACTGAAGAACCAGGAAAGCCAATGATATAATTCAATACAAGTCTGAAGGCCTGAGAACCAAGGGCTCCAATATCTGAGGCCAGGAGAAAATAGGTGTCCCAGCTCGAGAAAATGGGTATACCAGCTGAAGAAAATGGGTATCCCTTTCTTTACCTTTTTATTCCATTTGGGCCCCTAACAGATTGGGCGATGCCCACTCACACTGGTGAGAGTAGATCTCTTCACTTAGTCTATCAAATCAAATGCTGATCTCTTCCAGACACACACACACAGAAA